GGGCAGGAAGGAGTATGGTGATTGGAGGAGGACCTTAGGTTAACACCTTGGCATGAATCTGCTACTTCTCAGCTGTTACACTTTACTAAATAGCTTACCTATTCTGGGCATGTGTCCTTACCTTTAAGATGAATAATATTTACCTTACAGAGCTGTTCAGAGTAAACAGAAAACACAAATAAAATGCCCAGCATAGTGCCTGATTCAGTAAGCATTCCACTAGTAGAAATCCTAGCTAATAAAAGGGTAATATGAAAATTAACCATCACCCCATCACAAAGATGGCAGCACCCATAGCCACAAGATGGCAGTGCCCAGTCCTCCCTCAGCCCCTCCGGAGTCCCCCCAGACTTGGGTGGGAGGTGGCCACTGAGAGCGGGCAGCATTCTCATCAGACAAGCAGTGTTGCTGCAGCATTTCACGCCCGGCCATGGATGGCCTCTGGGCCATAGAGATCCTCTGGGCAGCAGGCAAGGAATGGCCAGGCCCTGCAGAGAGCTACTGGCACATGGATTCGTGCACAGGGCTACTAGAATTATACAATATTTATCTAATAAAAGAGTAACATGCTAATTGACCATACCTTCATGATTCCCACCAATCAGGAGTATGCAAATTAACCAAAAAAGATGGCAGATTAATTTGCATACACAGGCACCAAGCAGATGGGGGGCGGGAGGGAGGGGGGAGATGGGCAGGGATGCTTGCATTGTGACAGCACCTACTCCAGCTGCTCCAGGCCTCTGGACAGTGTGGGAAGGCAGAAAGGCGGCTCCAGGTTGGAGAAAGGCAGCTCTGGCCAGAGCAAAGGTGGTGCTGGCAGCCAGGGGAAGGAAGGCCCATTCTTGCACAAATCTCTGTGCATTGGGCCTCTAATTGTTGATATAATAGCTTTGAATTAGTAACTAAATGCTGTTCTTTTTATTCCTTTTACTTAATGTAGTTCAATTGGTCCCCAAATGTCCCAGATTTGAGCAGTGTAGGGATGACCTTGTCCTGCAGCCAAATGTTTACTTGCCCCCCTGCTCACCTCAAAATGCCATTTTGTTGTAGATAGAGGATTTAGAAGGTCACAGAGGAGGGGTCGACTTAAGATGTAAACACAAGAGGGGATTACAATGAAGGATCACCTTACTGGAGTGACCTGATTCTTCAGAACCTGAGCAGTGCACAGTCCTACAGGTCAATTCACCATCTTATTGTTTTTAGTTCCTGGTGTCATTTTTAGCACCATTAGTGCTAAAACACTATGGTATTCCTACTCCTGCTAACATTAAGAATTGAGATTTGCCAGTTCTTAAGAGGTTCTAGGCAATAGCCTAGAATAAAATAAAAGAGAATAGTATAAGCCTCTCAAGCTTCAATTTGATTTTTTTTTCTTATTCCTAAACCTCTGTGTTGTATTCTTAAAGCACAGTTTTTATAATGAACTTAACCTTTCATTACTGCATCCAGCCTGTAGACTTAAAGGATGCTAAAGCCCCATCTAGTACTTGGTCCATGCATATTGCACTATCCAGAGCACCCCTACACAGCCAAGCTACACAAAGCAAACATCCTACTGGGGTATGTCCTTGGGGGGCCTTTTTGCTGCTTGCAGCCATTTTATTTTCTACCAGTTCACCGTCTTCTAGGTCAGGTGCTGCTGGGAAGCCAGACTTGATTAGTCATGATCTTCCTGCTCCCCTATCTGTGGGAACTCAATCCTCTTTTGGCCCATTTTCTCATTTATTTTAAAAATATTTTGACCTAGAGAACCTGGTTTAATGAAAACTCTGGCACTTATGGGCTGCCCTTTGGGATATGTTTAATAAATATGATACTTGATACTTATAATGTTGATAATTATGACAATTTAAGTAATGTGCCAAACAGCTGGGAAAATATAAATTTGGCTCCAAGAGGGAAGAACAAATGCAGGTGGTAACTATAAGTCTACAGACACAATCTATAATAATAAAAGTGTAATATGCTACAAATGATCTGGACAAAGTTGGGGCTGCTAGGGTCGAGCCTCTTGCATGAATTTCATGTGTGGGGCCTCTAGTTAGTTAATAAAAAACCTGGGTCCCTGTGCTCAGGGACTGCCTAAACCCTCTCCCAGGTTTATGTTGTCTAGTTATGGATTCAAAGTAGGTGTTTGCTTGGGATTAGGAAAAAGAATTATATTTACTTAATTGTTCCTGATATCTGGCCCCCCTAGAGCTCTGGGGGATTTGGGGCATTTGGAGGAAGCCCTGCTGAAAGGAGCCACTGGGTCTAAAGGAGATGGTAATGGAGGCTACCCTAGAGAGAGGCTCTTTCTGGTCTGGTACGCCAGGGTGAAGAGGAGAAGGGCCAGGAGAAAGAAGGAGACGGAACCCACCATGCATGTTTCATGGAATACCAGGAAGATCAAATAACCCTTGAATTGTGAGTTTGACCCCTAAGAATGGTAGATTCAGCTGGGAAGCATGGCAGTAAATTCTTTCTGGCTTGGAAGCTTCAGGAAGTAGCTTCCGACCCTTCAGAATTCTTTCCCTGGAAGGTTGCACACCTGCTTCCTGCAGATACATGCCTAAATTTCCCCTATGGTCTGCCACAGCCACTTTCCTTGCCCTGCACAATTTCTTTTTCAGATTAAAAAAAATAAAATGAAATACTATATATTTAGAGAATGTATCTAATTGAATGTGTGGTTTATTTTATTATTATTTTTTTATTTTTTATTATTATTTTTTTTAGAAAGTGTGCAAATACTGTTTAATACATATGGTGCTTCTACTACTTTCTATAAATATTTAGTTGTTAGATCTTGGGTAAGTCATGCCTCATTGTAACACTCGAACAGTTAGAAAATCTGATTCGACTCATTATTTTTAACTCAACATTTTCCTGACGCATTCCATATTTTTTTTAGCATTGTCCATACTGTGTACATTTATATACTGCCAGGAAGCTAAATCCACTTGTAAAGTGTACTGCAGAATAAATAAAACACTTAGGCATTTATATGTTACAAACATTTAAACAATTCAATGTAGAGATTTATACATAGGCTTTATAAGTAGGAGGATAGAGACAATTGAATTAGTACATAAAGCTTTTATTTCAAGTTTCCCCCCTTCCAAGCAAGCTTCATTTACACATTCTAATACTGTACAAAATTTACATCCTCTGTGACTTAATTATTTATTTCCCACTAATAATTTGTGTCCTTCTGAAGTACAGAAAGCTTTATTTATTGTCCTCATAAATGCTTTTTATTTATTTTAGTCAGAAATAAAACATAAATGAAGAACACGTGTAAGGAAAGCAAACATCCGCGTATAAACTGTGACATTCAGATGGGGTGGTGACAGGTGACTGCGAAAGGTTCGGAGCAGACCTAGTTCTCTTCAGGGCGTCAGCTGGGACTTTCCCACAGAGCACTGTACCTTTTCTTGCTTTCTATATATTCAGATGCTTTCAAGGAAAAGGACACAAAGGCTGATTGCACTGGGTATATATTTATATATATTTTACAACGGATCCTTTGGATCTGAACATACAAATAAATACAAAAACAACGAAGATTGCACTTGACTGTAGAGGCGCAGCAGATTCCGGTACACCTGTCCGCCTGGGCGTGTCCGTGGGGAGAGCTTAGTGCCAGGCCGTTTCTATCCGTAGCTTCCCAGGCTGCTGTCCTGAATGCCACACGTGCTGAGGGGCTCACAGACATCTCTGGGTGATTAAAAAAAACACTTTAGGCTTTTATTGACTCCTATCAGATGTTTTCCAGATCCGAAGAGATTGAACATCCAACTCACGTAGCTGCCAGTTTTGTTGGTTTGACTGGCCCCATGGAGACCATCTCCTGCCCTCCTGCCTCCCTCCCTGGGCTCCGGAAAACACCAGCAACTGCCCACCACGCTGAGCTCGGGCGTCCCTGCTGGTGACAAACCTGGAGGATGAGTTGGGGGAATGACCAGGGTGAGTCATATGCTTTTCTAGAGCCAAATCTAGAGCCATTTGTAGAGCCACGGTGAGGACGAGGGGGACCTGTTTGTTAGGAGCCATCGTTTGCTCCTGTGGCTCTCATAGGTCGTGTGTTAGGGACAGAGAGACAACTGGGACTGTCGTAACAGAAATTATTCTTTCTTTTTGCTCCTGAATTCCTGAAAGTTATCTCCCAGTTTTCCTGTGGGTTAAGTTTGGGTCAGATATGTTACCCAGCGGAATATACAATATGGATGACTTGCTTGCCAATCCTACCGTTGGGAGCAAATATCGGGTGTTCACTACTGGCTTATATTCTGTAAAAATAAAATAAAAAGAGCAAGACTCCATGGACTGAATAGTGACATAGTGTATTTTCTTTTAATCTTTCAGACAAAATTGAGGACACAGAAACGATGACTTTGGCTAGCATGGGGCCTCCAGGGTAGAGAGCAATTGCCACCAAAACCAGCCTCCTTCTCCTCTCTCATCCCCGAGGCTGGAAGGGGCAGACGGCATAGATCAGGTTCTACAGGAACAGAAGTGCTGCTCTTGAACCTGCCGGGGTTTTCTACAACCGTGTTGCCTAGGGAGTCTGTGACGGAGCCACAGGTTAGGAACACGGAATCAAGTGGCAAGTCCTGGAATGCAGGGTGCGAATTTCAGTGGGTCCCATTCTGAGTCATTCATGAACACGATATCCCCAAAAACGTCAACAAAGACCACATGCAGGTAGACTACAACGCACAACACTGATCGCCCGTCTCTCAGGCGCTTGCCTGTGTGTTTCCTTCCTCCTTTGGGAAGTTCAGATCCACGGGGAGGTGTTTCTGTCACGCTGGGACAAGTTCCAGTCTGAAAGGGAAGAGTCTGTCACCGCCGGGAGTGGGTGGTGATCTGAGTCACAGACACAGTATCTGCTCAGGAGCAGGTCTTTTTCCTTTTGCAACCGTTCGAATGCATCGTTCCTAGTTCTAGCCGCGATGTCACCTGTCGCCGTGTCCCGGAGCGGGGCGCTGTCACTCCGGGGCTTCCTGGCGTCATTTGTTGTAAGGGACGCAGGCGGGCAGGATGACCGGGGCGCAGGCCGGGCCTGCCAGGGGCTCCGCCACGTCTCCCTCCAGCTCCGTCCAGCTGCCTTTCTCGGGACAGTAGCAGATGGTGGACGACTTGTAGGCCCCCTGCAAGGCAGAACAGAGCACTTAGGGTGCCGGCTCGGAAGCCTGCCAGGGCAGCTCATCGATCACAGGTACCCTGCCAAGCAAAGGCCCGTTCTCCGCTCTTGTTTCAAAACCTCGGCATGAAAGCAGCGGGTCTGCCACTGTTTTAATCCAATGGGAAATTTGAGGTGGACCAATTTTTAAAATCGGTTTTTATGCGTGTGTAACTAATAAGAAAAGTTAAGTACCTAGAACATCCTGGATAATCAACAAATCCCTTAAAATAATTGACCACAAAAAAAAAAAATAGGAATTATCCTGCTGGGTTACGTTTAAAAAATTTCACCTGAAATAGTCAAATGATTACAGTAAATTGGATTTTAGATCGTTGCTCACATTTCCATTTTTATGTCACCGCTGTCGAAGGGATTAGCGCCGGGATTCAGAACCGGGTTAAAATGAGCTGCAGGCGACGGCGTGCTGATCTCTTCGCACATCGACTGGTTCACTTTCAAGAGGCCACGTGGGGAACAAACACAAAGCTTGTTCCCTTTGTCAACCTCCGGGGTTAGTGCCTATGGAACATTTCCCTTCCCAGACCGAAGCAGCTTTCTTTGTGTCACAGGGAACAGACAAAAGTCCCCACCAACCTCACCATCACTTCCTGAGAGGGACGCCTGGTTCCAAATCCGGGGACTCTGGTGGCTAGCCATTGGCACCGGCAAACAGGCACATGCACTGCTATAATATCTAGTTATGTGTGGCAATACACATGTGCTTCCGTGTAACTAATATCTTCTTAACGCTCCCCCCACAACTTCAATCTTACAAAACCAACACATAGAAACAGAAAAAGATGCAAAGTCATCTTTTAAAAAGTGATGGTAGATGCCTGATGTGATGTTGGTTGAATTACAGAGCCTCACGTGTAAGGCCAAAAATAAATAACAGAAAAAAGTTTTGTTTTTTTTTTAAAGAAGAGCTGAATTTAATTAAGCCTTTATCTCTAACTTCCAGTCTACAGGAATAGGGACACATGGTGATTTTTAAATGACGTCGGCTAGCTGTAGAATGCGCGATGGTCTATGTAATATACCCTGTTTCCCCAGCTGGCCAGAGGCATCGAACAAGAGTGGGAGAGAGGCAAGGCTGCACCTTGTTGATGTGTAAGAGCTAGCAACTACTACACGTGAGACACCTTTTAACACAGCAATTTGAAAAATACATGTTTAAAAAATGAATAGGAGAATATTCACGAGAATATTATTTTGGATATAAAGCAATTATTGTTGATTTTGTTGGGTGTGATAGGGACTGTGTTTAGATAAATGAATACTTTTAAAAGGTTAAATACTGACACGTTTAGAATAAAATAATGTGATGTCTAGAATTTGCTACCAATTGCTTCAGTAAAACAATTTTGAAGGATAAATGGGGTAAGTGTGGCGAAATGTGGACGGATGTTGAAGTTGGATGGTGTGTTAATGAGGGTCCACTGGACTCTGAATGTTGGGTGCATTTGGAAATTGAAAGTGAAGCACAATGGCAAATGACACATCCTGCACAGAACCTGTGGATATTAAACAATGGATTTCTGTTTTCATGCCTCACTGGACAGAAACTTTTCAGACTCTTCTATCCCAACAATTTCAACAGAACATTGATGAAGCCACTTTAGTCTGACTTTTCCTTGGAAAGCCAGAATTGCAAAGCATGGGGAAGGAGAGAACCAGAGAGCTAACCCATTTATGACACAGCTGATCAGAGAGCAAGCCAGCTCTACCGCAACCACACTGACTCCATTACTAAAGTAATTGACTGTTGGCATCTAAGCACGATACTCTTTATTGTTATTATTCTTTCTTTCTTTCTTTCTTTCTTTCTTTCTTTCTTTCTTTCTTTCTTTCTTTCTTTCTTTCTTTCTTTCTTTCTTTCTTTCAGCATGATGCTCTTAAAAGGTACATGCACGGGTGGTAACACATTTTGAGGGAAACAACCAAAGAACTTGTATGCATTTATGCATAACTGTATGCATAACCCAAGGACACAGACAATAGGGTGGTGAAGGCATGGTGGGGGTCAGGGGCAGGCAAAAAGAAGTCAGTGCGGGGAGAAAGGGGGCATATGTAATTCTTTCAACAATAAAGATGGAAAGAAAAAAGCTGAAACGAAATTTTAAAAAAAGTAAGCACAAACCAGGAGGAGGAGGAGCAGCTCAATGAGGACGTACCATGCTCCAGCTGTAGCCTCCCACGAGGTAAATACTGTCGTCAAGCACTGCGCAGCCAGGGCCGCTGCGGCCCTCCAAGATGGGAGTTTGGAGAATGTTCCACTGGTCACCTTTTGGGTCGTAACATTCCACCAGCATGACATCGAGGTGGGAGAAGCCTGAGGGACACAGCAGAATGGAATCACAAAAGACAAACTCTCACAGTCCCCCCCGGAAGGCCAGGGCTTCTTTTCAGAAAAGGTCTAGAGGCAGAAGCAGATAATCGGTCTTGAAGGCATGCATGCTTACATTCACGGTGAAATTAGAAGTGTCAGAAAGACCTAAAACAAACAAACAGCACACAAACAACCCGACTCTGGGTGTTCCAGATTGACTGAAAGTGAGAATACCTGACTAGATATCCTTGGTTGATTATATGGGGGTAGATTTTATTCGAAATGGTTTATTAAAACTTTTTAAAAAGGCTTAAACTAATAATAAAGTAAGCATTTTATAGAGTGCTTTTATAAGCTAAACAACTAGCTTATTATAGCACTTTTTATAAATGAACTAATTTAATCCCATCAGTCATCCTATGAGATAGTGATACCATTATATTTATTTTATAGATGCGAAAACTGAGGGACAGAGAGAGTTAATGACTTGAGTAAGTCACATGACCATAAGTAGATAGACTGAGATTTGAATCTAAGTGAACAGGCTTTACAGTTTTATAGACTAAACTCCCTCACTTTTATAGACTAAACTATATTGCTTTTAAAAAAATATATTTTTATTGATTTCAGAGAGTCAAGAGAGGGAGAGAGAAACATCAATGATGAAAGAGAACCATTTATCAGCCAACTCCTGCATGCCCCCTACTGGGAATCCAGCCTGCAACCCAGGAATATGCCCTGACTGAAACTGAACCATGACCTCCTGGTTCATAGGCTGATGTTCAACCACTGGGCCACGAAGGCTGGGCTATATTGCTTTTTTAAAAAAATATATATTTTATTGATTTTTCACAGAGACGAAGAGAGAGGGAGAGAGTTAGAAACATCAATGAGAGAGAATCATCAATCAGCTGCCTTCTGCACCCCCCCCACAACCAAGGTACATGCCCTTGCCCGGAATCGAACCTGGGACCCTTCAGTCCGCAGGCCGACGCTCTATCCACTGAGCTAAACTGGTCCTGGCTATATTGCTTTTCTTAAATGAATCTTTAAACTTCTCAAAATGTTTAACTAATTAAAATTTGTTGTTCAGCATATTTTACCTTTTTGGTAGCCTCTCTATGTTTATAAACAGCCATGACAATGTGAACCGGTTCCATATCTACTAAGGAATCGTGGGAGGCTACAGCTGGAGCATGGTACGTCCTCATTGAGCTGCTCCTCCTCCTCTCGAGTAGGGGGCTAACTTCCACTGAAGGGCTTCTCCCGACACTTCTGATAAAGTTTCTCAGTGGCCGGGACACCACTGGGTCACAGAGAACAACTTAGGTTTCAGGACTCTATTGGATCTTTAATTTAGGCAGTCAAAAAATCCCTAGTGGGAGTATCGTGGTCATTGAGCAAACGATATCTTTAATGAATTTTTTTTCCTAGTTAAATGTATGATATGGATATTTGCTAGCTGACCATTCTAATGCACATAATATAAATAAATTGACATATTGGACTCTTCAAATTAATTGACAAGGTAGGCCAAAAAGTAGAATAGTTTTCATTCTTGAAAAGGCTGACAGAGTATTTCAAGCTACCAATTTTTTACATAAAAGAAATCACATAGATTTGGGAACAGAGTAATGTGCTTACTGCAACTCTGTGGCATATTTTCTTTCCTTTACCATTAAGATAATTGGTGACAGTTTTTGAAGCATACATACTGGGAATGAAGGTTTGGGCAAATTCCTGGTTCTAAGGCCCTAGAGGCATTGTATGAGAATGTATGTGCCTTCTCTGTACTAAGTAAATTTATAGACTCTAATCCTCACAACTACCAAAGAAAGGATCACTATCCCATTTACAGATGTGAGGGAGAGTGTCTTACACAACTGTAAGTGCACAACTGAGATTCAAATCTAAGCTTAGATGCAAGGTCCACACCCTTTCCCCTAAGCCACAGGCCTCCCTGAGCCAGCCTAATTTGATGTGCGTGTGCTATTTTTCATTTAAGTTGTCATTACTCAAATCTTTCCTTATAAGTATAAAACATACTTATATTAAGTATAAACATAAATATGAAAAGTTCCTAAAAGAGGAATTCTTGTGCAAAGAAATTAGTAGAAATCAAGTTTTAATGCAGGCAACTACTGAGTTATACATGGATGTATGGGCCAGGGAGTGTGTGCTGACATGAAGGAGTGTCAGCAAAGGAGAAAAATGAAGGGGGAGAGTAGCAGCAGCAACTACAATCCTCCTCTATCCGGAGACCTCTAAGATGAGCAGCAGAGATCAGGAAATGACACTTCTGATTCAATATGAACTTGGATATATTCACATTAAAGTTATACTTGTCTGGTCTTTATTATCTTTAGGGGTAAATATGTATGTAGAAAAATAGAAAAAGTCTATGTCTAAGCCATTTTTTAAAAGCTGTCTATCTAATTGAAACATAAGTGCTCAGATGGGCCTTGTCTACCAGACCCAGATGGCCTCGTTCTCATTTTGTTCAATTTCAAGGATCAGTTTCTTAATTTTCAGATGAGGAAACTGAGGCCCAAAGCAATAACAATCTTAATAGCATTCATCTCTCTGCTTTCCTATCCAGTTCAATGTCATAGAACTGCACATAAAGTTACATATGTGCGCATACACTACAAAATATATAGTCATGCACACATGTGGAGGAGAGGAACCAAGACATGGCTCTAAAAATGCTGTGCTTTAAGCAGGTGCTTTTATTAAAAAAAAAAAAAAAAAAGGCAAATAGGAAAACTTTGAGAATCATAGATGGCCTTAAAAAGAGATAATTCTAAATTTAAATTTAGACATGAAATTCTAAGTGTTTTCCTTAAGAAAAATCACACACTAGCTTCTTTGCACAGCTATGACTAAAGTTTTTATGATTACTAGAGAAAACAATTTTGTGGACAAAATCCATTACTATAACTTTGTTGATAAGGAATAATTTATTTTTACTGAATTCATTGTTACAACACATTGTTTGTGCATTTTCAGTTATTAATGCTTTCATTTTTAAATTTTCTGTAGACATTATTATTCATTTCCTTAATATGTGTGGTAAATTAAAAATAATCCTATCTTGTAGAGGAGCCAAAATAGATGTTTGCCCAGTGCTACTGGTAAATGAACTATGTTTATCTGATGAGACACCCTCCCCGCCTTAGAGAGAAACGTGAAATGCAAATGTTATTGTGATTTCTTAAAAAAAAAAGACCTTTCAAATGATTTCCTCCAATTGCATACAAGCGATCATTCATGACAGCCAACGTGTGAATGGCGCGTTTTGTGTTCATGTCTTGTTTGCGAGCCCAGACGTCCATCACAGGGTCATAGCAATATAGCCACGGGACGTATTCTCCATTGTGTACTCCCCCTGTGAATTAAACACATATACACCAGTCAGGAAAGTGCCTGGGAACTGAACTTGGCAGCAGGAAGTGGGGGGAGGACTTGCCTGAAATGTAGATTTTCCCATTGTGCACTGCTCCTGCGTGAGCTGCCAGAGGCTGTGGCAGAGAGGACACATAGCGCCATTCGTTTGTTTCCAGGTTGTAGCACTCCACGCTGGACAAATAGCCGGTTTCATTCCTCCCGCCAATAACGTATAAATGTTTGTCCAGCCGACACGCGTAGAAACTGGCTCTTCTACGATGGAAACAACAACCCACCGTGAATCACACAAGGAGCCCAGGGGGGCGGGAAAAGGAGGTGCATTCAGCTTCAGAAAGGGTTGTAATCCTTTGGAAACCACACAGATAGCAGCCTTCTCGATCCGAGACCTTCCACAGGGACCACAGGCATGGCCCATTCCCAGGAACATTTCTGATATGAAAGTAACAGCAGAGGGGCAATTCACTCTCTCTTCGTGGGAGCCCTTTTTATCTTACTTCAGACACTGGGAAAAGTGCTCCCTCATGTTTGGGGTATTTGGGACCCTGGAAGGATATCACAGCTCAGTAAGACAAAGTGAAAAATGAGGTAGATAATATAACAATAATAAATTATCTTGACATTCACTTTCTTTATGGTCCTTCAAGGGTCATTGTTCCCAATTTATAAGAGAACTACATCATCAAAATTTTTCTTCAATTATCATTTTTTCTCTTTCTCCCACCCCCATCCAGTACTATGGCAAATAGAGAAACTTTTGTGAACTGAATGTAGTGTTGAAAAGTTGCTGGAATTACATTACCCATTGCAGGAATTACATCTATGTAATATTTGGTGTTGATTCTTACAAAGCTATGGGATATGCTTTAGTCTCTTTTCTAGAGACTATTAGTGTGTCTCATTATGTCACCGAAAGCATAAGATGCAAGCTGTGTCAAAAGGATTGGAGACAAAGGGACCCATGGGAGGCAGACCATAATCCAGGAATGAGGTGTTAAAGGTGTAAGTCAGAATTTTAGTAGAAGACATGAACAAGGGTGAAAAAAAAAAAAAAAAGGTATTTTTAGAGAAAGATGCAAGACTTGGTAACTAATAAGATATGAGAGCCGCCCACCTGGTGTGGCTCAGTGGTGGAGCATCAACCTATGAACCAGGAGGTTACAGTTCGATTCCCAGATAGGGTATCGATTCCCAGATAGGGTTGTGGGCTCCATTCCTCAGTAGGGGTGTGCAGGAGGCAGCCAGTCAATGATACTCTCTTCATTGATGCTTCTACCTTTCTCTCCCTCCCCCTTCCTCTCTGAAATAAATACAAATATATTAAAAAAAAAAAAAAGATATGAGGACTGAGGGGGAATAAAGATTAGGAAAACTAAATTGAAATCCTTAATCCTTTGCTTCTTTTTCTCACTGATGCTACTAGAATTATCTATAATAATAAAAGCATAATATGTTAATTAGACCAGAAGTCTTTCCGGACGACCTTCCAAATGAGACTGAGGTTGCAAGGGAAGCCCAGGTCCAAGGTGCCAGAGGGAAACTGGTGCTGGCAGCCAGGGGGAGAAAGGCCTGCTCTTGCACAAATTTCGTGCATCAGGCCTCTAGTATCTTCAGAAGGATAACAGGTGGTCCCATATTGACAAAGTACAATTGTTAAATGCCGAGCCTCTTAGAGAGAGTATAATTTATGTGTGATGAATTATGATCTTCATAAAAAATTGATGCTAAGCCTCTTGGGCAATGTCAACAGGAAGATGAAAAGTCCCAGAAGTTTTTTTTATCAGGTACACCTATAAGATTTGGAGATTTTCCAAGTTCTGTTTACAAAGAGCCCAAACCTCTTTGTAGCATCTTGATGAAATGTTTGGTCTCTGGAATAAGATTGCCTGGTTCTACCACTTACTGGATGTGTGGCCTTTGACACATTACTTAACCCCTCTCAGACTTAGATCTGTAACATGGAGTTGATGATGGTACCTTTCTTATGCTTTATTTGCAAATACACATGTAAAATGCTCATTACAGTACCCAGTGTTTGGTTCATGCTCAGGACCCATCAGTCAATATTATCTGAATATATTTCTCAAAATCAGCCATCAAGATGTGTGAAGGTTCCTCAAAAAATAAAAAATGAAACTGCCTTATGACCCAGTGATTCCACTTCTGGGTATATATCTGAAGAAACTCCAAACACTAATTTAAAAGAATGTTTGCACCCTCATGTTAATTTGCAGCATTATTTACAATAGGTAAGATTTGGAAGCAACCCAAGTGCCCATCAATAAATGAGTGGATAAAAAAGCTGTGGTACATGTACCATGGAATATTATTTGGCCATAAAAAATAATAAAATTTTACCATTTGCAACAGCATGGATGGACCTAGTAGGTATTATGCTAAGGGAAATGAGTCAGATAAAGAAAGACAAATACCAAGTGAATTCAATTATATGTGGAATCTAAAGAACAAAACAATCCAACAAACAAAATAGAACAGACTGACAGCTGTAAGAGGTGAGGGGGTTGAGGGGTTGAGGGATTGGGTGAAAAAGATGAAGGGATTAAGAAGTATTAATTGGTAGTTATAAAACAGTCACCAAGATGTAAAGCATAAGGAATATCTCAACAATATTGTAATAACTATGTATGGTGGCAGGTAGTTACTTAAAATATTGGGGATGACACTTTGTAACGTACATGATTGCCTAAATGCTATTCTGTACACCTGAAACCAATATAAAATAATGTTAAATGTAATTGAAAAATAAAATTTAAAATATTTTCATATACATTTTTCTCACACTGGAGGCAAAAGTAGGTTTACAGTATTGTTTAAGTATCCACTTTTGTTGCTCATTGGTTAAATTACCAGCCAACATTACCTAAAAGATAAATCATAAGTAAGGATATGAAATAATAATAAAACAGATAATACAAGTAAACAATACAACAATAAATAAATAAATAAATAAATAATAAATCCTGTTTTGCTTTCTCACAACTGTAAACCTTCTTTTGCCCACTCCTACATTTTAAGTGACAACTAAATTCTTTATTTGTATAGATGACTTCTTACCATATAGGTATGATAAATGCTATATATGGTGATGTATTCAGTTTTATTTTATTTCCAGCTTTATTGAAGTATAATTAACAAATAAAATTATAACATATATAAAATGTAAAATGCGATGACTTAATACATGCATACATTGTAAAAGGATGTCTATTATGAAGTTAATAGACATCTATCACCTGACATGGTTACCCTCCATTTTTATTTTATGAGAACACTTAAGATCTACTCCCTTAGCAAATTTCAAGCGTATAACCCACTATTCACTATAGTCAGCAGACATCAGATCCTCAGAACTTACTCATCTCACTACTAAAATTGTGTACCCTTCAACCGACCACTCCCCCTCAGCCCCTGAGCAATCACCATTCTAGTCTGTTTCCATTAAGCTCAATATTTTTAAGATTCCACATATAACTGACATCATACAGTGTTTGTTTTTCTCCATCTGGCTTGTTTCACTCAGCATAATGACTTACCGTTTCAAATGGCAGGATTTCCTTCAATTCTATGGCTGAATAATACTCTATTTTGTGCATACACCTTGTTTTCTTTACCTACTTCTCTGTGGACAGACAAGGTTGTTCCCACATCTTAGCTATAGTGAATAATGCTACAATGAACATGAGAGTACAGAAATCTCTTCAAGATACTGACTTTGGTTCCTTCGGACATATGTACAGAAGTGGGATTGTGGGATCATATGGTTCAGCTATTCTTCACAGACCCAAAGTAGTATTTTGGCTATATTTGTTGTTTTTTTTCATATATAAATATCAATATATATATATTTCTTTAAATATATTTTATTGATTTTTTACAGAGAGGAAGGGAGAGATATAGAGAGCTAGAAACGTCGATGAGAGAGAAACATCGACCAGCTGCCTCTTGCACACCCCCTACTAGGGATGTGCCTGCAACCCAGGTACATGCCCTTGGCCGGAATCAAACCCGGGACTTTTCAGTCCGCAGACTGACGCTCTACCACTGAGCCAAACCGGTTTCAGCTTTCCTATATTTTTCTTGATGCTTAAAAAAAAACATACGTGCTGGGAAAAATTCAGGAGGAGGATGAACAACAATGATGGAAAAAGGAGGCAGGAACCTATAGGGGGAGAATGAAGAGCAGGAGGGACGATTTCACAAAGTAAGGGTGGTTAACCCGGGCTGTGTTTTCTGAGGAGTCCAGGAAGCTCTTTTAAAATTGTTCTAAAATGTGTTTTGCGTATGTGCATTTTTGGGGAAGAATATGGAGAAAGGTTTTGGAGGAAGATTGAATCGTATTTTCAAAGGAACACAAACATAAAAAAAAAACTAGAGTTTTCTGGGATAGGGGAGTAAAAACTCATTGAAGTATAAAATTAGGTTTAAAAACAATTACAAAATTAAGTGCATCTAGGTGGGGAAGTGGTAGGTCAAAGGGTACCCAGGTTCAGTTGTAAGATGAATCTTTTCATGTCTCTGGCCAGATTTCTACTGCTCTCTTATGAAATAGGATAAGTCAGGATGATTTTACCGGTGATTTTACCTCCTCAGTTAAAACGATTCATTGAGAAGACTGACACATGTCTATAAAAATGTGGACATTGATATATCTTTGCACCATCGAAACAGGATAGACCAGGGTTCCTTTCCCAGATGAGCCTATGACAGGTCTTGGAGCCTCTGAAATAATTAGTTTACTAATTTCACTACTCTGCCATTTAAAAGGAATTTGGACTCTGTGGGCAGTAAGGTGGTGAGTTCTTCTATGCACTATACTAGTATGTTGGTCTAAGAAAACATGCCCATCAATCATGACAAGTAGGCAAACACTCCATGCAAGTGCTGGTGGTGAAGCATACTCGGAAGATCCCTCTTTGGGAGCGTGATCTCCTTTTATGGTCTACATTTCAAAGTTCTCGCTTCCCTTTCCTTCTCCACGGAGGCCCTGAGCAGCCTGCCAGGACTGGCTCTTTCAGCCGAGGTGTTCCTGATTGGATGCTCCGTGTGTACTCCTGGCTTCATCCACACAGTGTCACTGTTAGGATCTAAATGGGAAACGACAGCCATAGGTTTCCCTCCCTGGCGAAAAGTGCGTATTCCTGTAGCATTTCTGGCAGCGAGCATGCAGAGTCTCTGACTCCATCCCTTGCATGCCCAGAGTCAGCCTTCACAACACGGGTCACAGACACCCTGGGTCAGGGCCTGCCAGCCACTGTGAGCTTTTGCTCCAGGTGCAAATCTGCCTCCTGGGTGTGCTCCCTGCCCTGCCTTTGCACACTGGTGTGGGTGATGTAGGCTCTTTTTGGAAAAGTTAGGATGATTAAAGATTCCTTAATGGGATTACAGTGTATTTTGAATTGATCATCTCTCCCCGCTACAAGATCCTCCTTACTCCATCGCCACAGCTAATGCTCAAAGGATTGAGATATGTTACAAAGGATGACGGTAACATTTACAAACATGCATCAAATCCCGAATATTGTACTGGTTTTCCTGTGTCCTTCTGACCCTTGGGGTGGTCAGTTTATCTACAGCCTGAGATGGAATAATCACAACCTCATCTCAGCTTGCATTTTTGAATTTCATCATCAGCTTAAAGCAACAATAGATTTTTCAAACAGAATATTGTCTCTTGTAAGGCTTCCAGAAACAGAGTTAAATTTGGGAAATTTCTGATGTATTTGTTTCTAAATTTCACTTGCTCTGTGAAACACATGCTTTGTTTCTGTTCTCCAAACTGGCTTTTTCTTTTTCTTCCCATCAATCATGACAAGTATGCAAACCCTCTATTCAAGCTCTGGTGGTGGGACTCCCCTCTCTCTCCCCTCCCCCAACTAGCTAGGGAATAAGATCTCCATAAGAATAGTACCTAAAATGTCTATTTTTATTAAAAATAAAAATAAAAACAAAGAAAACCAAACCAAAACAAAAAAACCTTAAAGCCACCAAAGTGTTTCAATTGAGTCAAGTTTTCATATTTTGCCCTCATCTTTTCTGAAGAACCAAATCCCACATCCGAGACCAAAACAACCCATCTGCACGACATTTAAATTTATACTTTTGTTTAATCATTTCCGTCAGGAAATTCACAGGCAGCAGGCATGCAGTCCAGGAGCGGACCTGTGGTGGAGAAGGCCTGACTGAGGCTGTGTGCCCATTTCCCCGGGGACATGGGGTGGCATTCTGCATTGGGTCATACTCTTCTGGATGCGCTAATGAGGTAAGCTGGCCTAGGCATCCAGTCCCGCCAGCCCTGTGGTTCAGAGAACGGGTTACCCCGGAATGTTTTCCAACTCGTTTCTATTCTCAGCTCGTTTGGCAACTTAATTAGCAGTCTGGTGGCAGCTAACAGAATGGGGTGGCCTCGGAAACTTCTGGTGGATGGTTTGATTCATGATCTATACAATGCGAATGAACTCACTCCAACATTCAAGGAAATTCTCTTCTGATGTGTAGCGTGTGTCTCGTATGTTCTGGTTTTCTCCCTCTTTGTTTAATCACCAATTAGAACATGCGGATAAGTGGCCGTTCTTGCTATTCTGAGTGGCAGCGAAGACAGAAACGTCTCCCTGTCAGTTGTGGGCAGCTGCCCAGGTCAGCCAACCCATAGGAGACGCGGAGCTGGAAGACAGACGGGGCATCTGTGGGCGCTGCCTGTGCCCCTCCGCTTGGCCAGGAGCTCTCTATTTGCTCTGTCGAGTTGATTGTTCTCAATGTAAAAAAAAAAACAACGACAACCCTCTTACCAGGGACCTGACATGATGTACCATAATGACTCGGGGAGAAACGTTAGACCGTCCATCCTGTCATCGGCGGCTGGCGGGCGCCGATGGACCGTGGAGGGCCCTTTTATCAGGTCAATGAGCTGCTCAGAATCGTCTACGTCGGACCCTGCCAGGAGAGGCCAGAGTGCCTCCGAGGAAGTCATTATCGAGGATCAAGTAAACAATGCACATTTGAAAAAATTACTAATTAGGTTTTTGCAGCAACACTTCTCATCCCGAGGGGCTCCACGGCGAGATAATTGACCGCGACGTGAGTGATGCCTCCCAAAGCCACGGCGTGAAGGTTAACGATCGTGGCGCCCAGCCCCCAGCGAAGGGGACCAGGGTGGGGAGATGCTGACATCTCAAATACGGTCTTGATGCTCACTTTAAAAATATGGCTTCAGTGAGACTTTTTTTTGAATGGTGTGGATGAAAGGGTGAAGTGATGGGGCCATGATAACAGCAATCAGGAGAGAAGCCCCACGTGTGAGACACAAGAAGAAAGACCCCCGGAGGCTTTTACTAGCATGTGCCCCGGCATAGGGACGGGAAGGCTGAGTGGCATGGCAGTGCATCAGCTGGCTTAGAGTCATCTGTGGACGTAGCTTCCGATTAGACGTTCCTAAACGTGTCTGAGATCCTTTCCTCATAATGTGCCTCGTTATTTTCAGTGTGTAGCCCTTAGTCTCTTATAAGAAAGTCTTAACATGTGTACATGGGATAGAAAGTAAGTTTCTTTAGAGTAGAGATTCATCGTCTTCCTGTAGTAATGTCCATTTTTTAATGAATGGCATGATCTGAAAGTTCCTTTAAAAAAAAAAAATCCTCACCCAAGAATATTTGTTCATTGATTTTTAGAGAAAGTGGAAGAGAGAGGGAAAGACAGAGAGAAATATTGATGTGAGAGAAACAAACACATCGATTGGTTGCCTCCTGCAAGAGCCCTGACCAGGGCCCGGGCTAGGGAGGAGCCTGCAACCGAGGTTCATGCCTTGGACTGGAATTGAACTTGGGACCCTTTGGTCCGCAGGCCTATGATCTATGCATTGAGCCAAACCGGCTAGGCCTGAAAATTTCTTTTTAACTTGGAATATATGATTAAGGATCTAATGTGATCTCAGTGCAATCTGATTGAATGCTTAAAAAAAAAAAAAAAAAAAAAAAAGGAACCATTTGAAGGGTCATGAAAGAAATAAGAAATTATTCCTTAAATAATTCAATCAAGAAAATAGGTTGTTGATTCTTGTTACAATTAGACTGAGGAATTTGCTCAAGAGGATGTGGAGATGTTATTTGAAAAGAACCAAGTGCAGAAAATTTAGCTTGGGATCTTGCATAGGCGCACTGAGTCACGGCCTCATGCCTGAGGAACAGCCAGGAGAGCCCAGGAGGTGGAAGTGGAGTTGTCATTCATGTCCTCTGGCACGAGGAGAACTGGGCGAGATAAACACGGTATATAAAAAATGAGAGGACACCTCATAAAACGGTTTAGTTCAAAGCTAACAACTGACAGGCTCTTGAATGTATGATGGAAAGACAGTTGAGGAGGCAAATGGGAAGGACTTGAATCAGTGAGACTTGAAAAGTTTAATATTGAAATCTGAGCATCAAAATGCACATCACTGTAAACAGGATGTTTTATATTTCCATTAGGATTTAAATATATCACAGCCACTGAAACCCGTTTGGCTCAGTGGACAGAGCATCTGTCTGCGGACTGCAAAGTCCCAGGTTCGATTCCAGTCAAGGGCATGTACATTGGTTGTGGGCACATCCCCGGTAGGGGGGGGGTGTGCAGGAGGCAGCTGATCAATATTTCTCTCTCATCGATGTTTCTAGCTCTCTGTCCTTCTCCCTTACTCTCTGTGGAAAATCAATACAATATATTTAAAATAAATAAATATATCACAGCCCAGGAGAGTGGGGCAGCCAGTGAGAGTGGAGCTCTGCTTGCCCCAAAGCCAATGCAATGTGGGAAAGGAAGGACAGCCATAAAACTGTTTTTCTTCCTACGTGAGGATAAATCATTGACTTGATTATTTTTCTCCATTGAGTTGCCAAGGCAGCTCATCCACATTGGCCGGCCCAAGGTTTGTATGTTGCCTCATCTACCTTTCCCTGTTCCCCTGAGCATGCCTCATCCGGGCAGGCCTTCCACACCCAGACCTCCTGTGCAGCCGCCACGGCGTTTCCAACACGAGAAACAAACACTTACCTCTCCTGCATGGGTGGGAGCTGTATCCAGCTATTAAAGCGGGGGTCGTACCGACTGACAAAATTGGTACTGTGTTTTCCTGCAAAATACACACAAAACTTGGATTCATTCCACTGTGGTTTTCCACATTTAACAGTATTTTATAAGACAGCTCTGCTCTCAGGCTTAACAAACAGATGCACGAAGCAGAGGGACTACCTAACAGGGTTTGGGAAGTGGAGTCAGTAGAAGAAAAAACGAGCCACCTCCATTGGTTTTCCCTTTCCCTCCCTTTTTGCTCCTCTTTTAATGAGTTCTGATAAAAAGAAATAAACCATAATAATGAGAGCAAATATGTTTGTCAAACCAGTTTCATCCCAAAGTTAGGGTAAAACACTCCAGGCTTTGGTGTTTTTATGCTTTAAAAACAGGGAGTTATCGCCTATAAAACATCAGTTCCAAGACTGTCCTGTATGGTATCTCCGACTAGAGCTTATTATTATTTTTTTTTTTTTGCTTTTTTTTTCTTCTTTAAATGACCCCAGAATTCCAGGAGTGGGAGAACCTCTCTCCCTGTGGAAATAGTAGCAATCGCCACAATACGAGGTTTAAAGAAGTCAGTTTTAATCTATACATTGTGTGTGTGTGTGTGTGTGTGTGTGTGTGTGTGTGTGTGTGTGTGTGTTTGAGGGAAGCACAGTTGCTGTGCCCTCTCGCAGGTACACGGGCTGAATGGGGAACATGATCCCTTGGAGCCGGTTAACCAGCTTATCCCCTCTGCTGAACCCAATAAGCACAGCAATGCCTCTGAGGTATTAACATTATTCTTATTTTACACACAGATTGTCACCAGGAAATGGAAGCAAAGGAGTGTATTCCATTTTCTGTGGAGCACCTGAAATGACAATCATCTGAGATGCATGTGCATGTATGTGTGCCTGTGTGCATGCGTGCATGTACATGCATGTTTCCACATAGGCATGTATACAAAACCCAATTACTCACTGCAGTTATCTATTGAGTACTTATTATGTGTCTTTTGTGTTCTAGATTCTGAGGATATAATGGGGGGTGGAAAAGGCCAAGTTCCTATTTTGGTAAATGAATAAACTAATATAGACTATATCATCAAGTAGATGAAGGCGGGGATTGGTAGAGGGAAGGCCAGCTTAGGTAGAACGTCACAGATGCCTTTTGCAAGCCATGCAAATATGTGCAGTGTGAGCCTCTCAGGCCGTGGGGTATGGAGCAGAACTCCTGAGCTGCTCATGAATTCAAACCCAGTAGGAATGCTGGAACGACAGGAACAGAAGTCAGAGGGGTGTCAAGGCCCAGAGCAGTGTGCTTTATGGACTAGGGTAGGAGTCCATGAAGAATGAAGACAGGCCTGTGGGGGTACTGAGTGAGCAAGGAATAGGGCCTAATGTGTCTCTTGCAAAGACTACTCTGGCTGCTGCGTGAAGAACAGACTGTAGAGGCGCCGCTCTTGAAGCAGCAGAGCTATCAACAGGCCACTGAAGGAAGGTTCAGGCAGTGAGATGTGGTCAGGTTTGGGATCTATTGCATGGAAACGGCCAATAAAATTTTCTGATTGTTAGTTTGAGATAAAGAGGAGATAATAAAGGACGGTTTCCAGGTTTTTTTAGCCTGAGTAGCTGGACAGAAGGCCATGCGATTTGCCGAGGTGGGGAAAACCAGCAGGGGTAGTTTGGGGGTTGAGGAGAGAAGTCACTGATTCTGCTGCTTTGGACTTGACCTTGAGATCTCAAAGTGGAAGCACCTGGTAGACCACTGGCTAAATAAGGCTGTTGGTGCAAATTATGGCATTATTATTCCAAAAATATTATGTAAAGTCATCGAACAGAAGGAAACCCCTTTAGGCAGAGGGTATGACCATGGAAGGTAATACAAATCCTGGGAATTAGCCCTGGGTCAGAAGAAGGAAAACCAGCCAAGGAAAGACATTGTCAGAGACAGGAGGAAAAGTGTGGCATTTTGGAAGCCGTGTCAAGCAGTGTTTCAGAATGAGGAGTGAGCATCGGAGAACTAACCATTCGATTTGACCACAGGGAGGACGGTGGTGGCCTGGAGAGTATGGCTTCCGTGGACGGGTGGGGATGGAAGCCCGAGTGGGGATCACTCCAGGAGACTAACATATGAGAAATCGGGGGAAAGAGGGTAGGAGAATGCTTTTTTTTTTTTTTTTTTAGAATTGCTGCCATAAAAAGAAGATGATTAGAGCTGGAGGATATACCTCCTCAAGAAGCTTCTATTTGGTTGTTGGTGCTTTAAGTTTGGAAGTATTGCAAAAGTGATTGAGCGAGCAAGAGGGAGTGAAGAACAGGACTTAGATTGGGGCAGAGACAGTCATAGGAAAAAAGACAGGATACATGGGTAGCCACAGATACATGTGCATAGACTTGGTAGGAGCAAGATACAGATGTTTATCCTCGATTGCTTCTGTTGCGACTGGACTAAGAAGAGAGGCTGCACACTGAGTGAGGAGGGAGGCTGTGGAGAAAGGCAGTTGAGAGAGAAGGTGTGGAGCAGTTAAGCCTGAGGGTGGGAGAGAGTGCTGATCAGGACAATTGAAAGGGGAGCTGCAGCCGGGCCTTGGGTCAGGCAGTAGCTTCCACCTGGCTTTTAAAGAGAAGGTTCTGCAGACACTGCTCAGATCAGCCTGATGCCAGTGACAGCACGTTCCCTTACGGATGCTCCGGTCAGCAGAAATCACTGGCGAGGAAGGATGGGTTAGGCAGCCATTGGGGTGCTTGCTGGGGGTATAGGGGGGAGGGGGAAGCGGGAGGCTTTGTACCATCAAAGCCGTCATTTCAAAGGAAACTTGGAGGAGAGAGATGACCTATCATTTTCGCTCCTGTTCTCTCAAGGCCCAGGACTGTCCCCTTTCCGGCAAGGAGAGCCGGGAACCAGCAGGCGGCAGGTCTCGGGAAGAATGTGCCCTGGCTTCGGAGAAACGCTCCCGGAGGTGGCTGGGTGGCTTTCCTTTAAGACATTCCAGCGTGAACAGATGTGCCCATTCTCCATAATCTGCCTGGTGCAGATGCTGAGAGAGCATCCGAGCTAAAATAGACGCACGCGGCCCGTGTCATCTCATCGGGATGTTCGGCGTTTTAAAGTGAAAACGTGTACCTGCCAGCTGTTTTGTGGTTTCTCGGCCATAAGCATCCCTGTACACGGCTCCCCCTCCGCGTGCAAGCTCCCCCCTCTTCCCCCGACCTGGTGCGTGTTCCGCCAGGCCCAGGTCCCCCTCGTGTTCGGCTCGGGAGATGTGTCAAAAGGCTTCGTTTCTCTGCGGGGAATGTCTGAAGCACCCATACCCACCCCCACAGGCGGGGTGGCGGGGAGCTGTGGAAGGAGCCAGCGAAAGGTGAGCCACCTCCAATGGGTCCCCAGGAATAGAAGCTGCAAAGCAGCTCAGCGAAGGCTTTGTGGGTGCAACGGCAGATCACGCTGTGAATGGGAGGCTGTGTTGGAGACGGGGGGTGTGGGGGGGATTTTCAGCGCTGTTGCTGGCCCCTGCTCTGGGGAGGCCAGGGGCCCTGGCACCCTCAAGGGCCGGCGAGGAGAGAGGCCCAGTGCCAGCTCAGAGCTGAGCCCCAGGCAGCCTGTGATGAGCGCCCTGTGGCCATCCTCTGCTACCTCAGGCCTGACCTTCCTTCCCTTTACAGCCACCTCACTGACTCCTCCCCGGTCACCGGCACAGACACACATTTCCCACGGTCAAGATGCTGCAGCCACCAGAGCCTTTCCTGGCACACACTCATGGGCCAGCTGCTACTGCGTTGTTCAGTAGTTACCATCATTAAAAAAAAAAAAAAATAGTTACCATCAGGCCCCACCGGAGTGGCTCAGTGGTTGAACGTTGACCTAGGCGGTCACGGTTCGATTCTCGGTCATGGCACATGCTGGGGTGTCAGGCTCCATCCCCAGTGGGAATGCAGGAGGCAGCCAACCAATGATCCTCTCTCATCATTGATGTTCCTCTCTCTCTCCCCCTCTCTGAAATAAACAAAAATATGTTTAAAAAATAGAAGACACATTCAGTTACCATTAGGGTTCCACTGGTCCTCTCCTCCCAGCACAAACAGGAAGTTCTCCACCTCCACGACGCAGTGGTGGGCGCTGTTGTAGGGCATGACTGGAACGAAGGAGAAAACACAGATGCATGACCTTCGCCATCTTGGCCCCAGCCCGTGGCTCACTAGGCATTTGCTTCCACCAAAGGGTAGAAAACGTGACACGAAGTCCCTGGGAAGGAGCGAGCCAACAGCAGAGCAGGGAGCCCGCCCACTGCAGGGGCTCAGGGGGCCGTGCCCAGTGGCAGGCCCGGCCCCTCTGGATGACTTTTCCATCAAGTTTGCCCATGAATTAGTCAAGAACAGCCTGTCACGCTGCTTGCAGGCCTTCAGCCCGCCCGCCCTGGCCTGCGGGTGGGGCTCTTGCTCTGAAGCAGACACCGGGGCTCCCAATGGTCAGGGCGGGCTCCCTCCTGGAGGAGCTAACCCTGCACACACACGTGGGGCCATTCAGAGGCCCCGCCCCCCTCGGTTTGCTGGCGATCCCTCCGTGAACACACTGGGGGGTGTGCTGGGTGGCTGTCTGTCCCCCAGCACCCAGCGGGCCGGCTTTCCATACAGTGTTCAGCTTTTAAATTAAGGTCCTGCTGATTTAATGCCTCCTCCAAAGGCACACGCTCAATTTCCTGTACAATGTCATTAGCAGCACCATCACACACTGCCTAGCTCTCCGCTTAGGAACTCTTCTGGAACAAAGATAAAACCCACCGGAACATCACGGATATCCATCCCGCTCACCTCCCCGCTGCCCTGCCCCAGTGTGCGGGCTGCGGGGGGAGAGGGGGGTGGCAGCCAGGAGCCCGTGAAAGCCAGGCTTCTCGGGGTTGGTTCTCATTTACATTTTCATTTGGGAGACACACGCAACCAGAACAGGACGCCCGTGTCCGCCTCCCCGCCACCCCTTTCCCCCCCACGTGCAGCGCGGTGTTGACCTCTGCGGTGTCATCTCCCGTGGTAAATGTGACCGGCCGAGCATCAGTTATCACGCGCGCGCGCGCGGTGGCTCGGCCCGGCGACACCCGGAGTAGAATGATGTCCTTGTTCGGCTCATCATATGGGCACCTTAAATCTAGGTGCGGGGAGAGGGAGGCGATGTGCACGCTCGGGCAGGGAACGTATTGCCTGACACGGATCAGCAGAGCACTTAAGGAACCAGTGCGCTGGGAAATCAATATGCGCCAAGGCCAGCTCTGCCTCTGGCGCTCCCTCCAACGGGGGGAGAGGAAAGGAGAGGGCCCCTGTCTGACACCCGATGCATTTTGGAGGACACCCCTCTCTCATCTTTTGTTTTTATTGTTATTATTATTATTATTATTTTCAGAATGTGCTTAGGCAGGCTAAGGTATCCAACTAAAAGGAATTCCTAGGCAAAGCTTTGAAACCTCTAATGCAGCTTCTGAAAGAGCAAACCAGATAGTTGAAGCATTTTACTTCAGGATTCTAGGAGTTCTGATGATTTTGATCACGTTTTTATTTTTGCTGTGACCATTCATTGTCCTTTGAGCTGACAGCCAAGAGGGAGAAGGCACTGCTATGTAAAGCCCTGATTTCGGGGATAATGGAGGAGGAACTGGGTGTGCCCTTGGTCTGGGAGGTCCATTAATTAGGTCGATGGACACAGAGGGTCATCTTGGGAATGTCCCTTCCTCCTCCCCCTCCCCCCCTTCTCAACCCTCAGTTATCTCTTTGGGAAAAGCTTTCAACCAGATAGATAGATTCTGCAGCTTCGCTTCTTAGAATCCATTTGGAGCAGAGTGGATGTTGGGTTCATTGAGCAACTAAGATTGGATAGGTTTTGAACATCCTTGCTTTTTTCTTTTTCAAATGAACTCGTCATTGTCTGGATTATGAGGATGGTTCCAAAACACCAACAACCAATATACATTATGTGTCTCATGAACAGCCCGATGTGACTCCGTCTGTCATCCTGTCAGCTGGTCAGCGCCAACTCTTAGCCTCAATGGCCGTCGGCTCACGGGAGAAATGGGCGGAAAAACAGAGGCCACCGGCTACAGCCAACTCGCCGATGGCAGCCCCTCTTCCAACGTTTACTTTTAATTTTTGGCCCGTTCAAGGCCTGCACCTTATGAGCAATACAAATGGTATTCTCAAGGCCAGCTTTAAAATACAGCGCTGTCTCTGAAAATACAGCCGTGCTTGTATTTTGTTCTTGCCATTCACTTGCTCTCACGTGGGCAGGCAGAAATGAAGTGAAGGAAGTAATAGATGACTTATTCTGAAGCCCCCTTTTCATGTGATTACCCCTCCTGTTATGCTTCATGCAAACAAATGAAACGATTGCAGTAGGCTAACCACTGACACCTTCGAAATGAGGGAGGAGGTGTCTGAAGTTCTAATGGAAAGGCTACTTGAAGATATTCCTCTTTATCGACACGTTTTTAAACCTCGTGTGCTATCTTTCTTGGCAGAATATTTCTATATTCTCATTCCTGAATTCTTGTCTCTTTTGAATTACCACCGTGAATGGAGAGGCTATAAACACACCCAAGAACTCTTTGGAATTCTTCTGGATGTAACAGGCTCCGAGTTTATTAGAAGAGAATCTAAATTAAATCAAGGTTGGCGTTTTGCAAAAGACCTGCTTTCTCTGGTTTCTGATCGAACCTGAAGGGAAGTGAAATCAACAGGGGCAGCGAGCAAGGGCAAACACCTGTTCCAAGAGGCAGGAGGCCCTGCCCTTACGGATCACCTTTCACATAGCGAAGCAGACCGGCCGGACCCTCCCCGGGCTTCCCGGGAGGTGGGCCCTCGCCGCGCCCTCACGCGCAGGTGCGGGGGGAGAAGTCCGTGCTCCGTGCTCACGGGCGGCCCCGTGCGCGTTTTTAGCGTGTCAGTCAGTGAGTCGGAGGGAAAGGGTAAAGAGAAGCTAATCAGGATGAAATGAGATTAAAGGCTGTCTAATTTTACAGCAACTGTGATCCATCAGCCGCTGTGAAAGTGACAGTGGAAATGAGTGATGGAGACAGACAGGTGGGGCTGCACATTCCCCTGATTTATCCTCAAATGCACTGGGCCTTATTTTATTGAGTGAACATGACCGCATCCATCACGACTGTCATCGGAGCCCACTTCCCTCCGCTTAGAAAGGTCACTTTACTCTCAGGGAGCAGGAGAGAGGCGCCTTCAGACCAGACTCAGCGTCTCCTCACACGTGGCTCCGGGGCCCTGGGTGAGGATTCTCAACTTTTATTAAACCAATGACAAGCGCTGGAAGGAAAGGGGGAGGCGGGGAGGCCAGAAAACAGAAAAAGGAGAGAGCTTTGGTCACCTGTGGGAATGCACTCATGTAGTCTCTAAATTGGAAGCCATGTGTATCATTTTTGCCCTTCTCACTCGGAGGGAAATGCCATTCTAGCCTGGGAAGGGAAATAAAACGTTTGCACGGGGTGTTTTTCATGAAGAAAGCAAGAACAGGTGGTACCCTAAAGCAAACGAGGGAAGGCTGTGGAGTCCCAGTCCTGACTCTGCGCAGGGGCCAGCCATCCCACGCTCAGTAGATGTCAGCAATGGTTACAGGTTGAATCTCGGCCACAAGTCACGTATGTGCCTGCTAATTGTTTCCCAATCATTTTGAGGCCATGGAGCTATCAGTTACACAGGCTTTCCCTCCTCCCTGTACCAATGAGGTAAAATAGCCTGGAGTGTTATGCATAAAGTTAGTCTTTGTGAAGAGCATTTTGTGTTACTTTTCACAACAGTAACCACCATTGACCAAATGTCTACCATGTGCCAGGAACTATGCTGGTGCTATATTTACACACACACACACACACCCACACACAAACACTTATATTTACATGTAGGTACCTATATTATATTGCTGAAAATATAATAACATGTTTTATTCTTGCCACTCATTTGCTCCTATTCAGGCAAGCAGAAATGAAGGAAATATATATGACATTATAATGTATGGTAAGATATAATACAGGATAAAATACACCTCTATCTGATCTCTCTGTATTTACCTATGCTTTTCATTTAATACAGCTAACTACAAGGGAGGCATCATGCACTCATTTTATGTCTTTAAGAAATTCTGAGGTTTTAAGAGGTCACGTCACTTGTGGAAGGTCAGACTCAGCGAATGAGTGGCAGGAAGGACCCAAACACAGGGCTCTCTGGACCCCCACCCGTGCTCCTACCCATGTCACTCTACCGACTCTCAGTAGGTGTATGCACCCAACCAGCAAGTCATGACCAGCACCTGTGTCTTCAGTGATGGAATTCCTGAAATTCCCTATCATTGTTGTGTGTTAAATCTTATTTTAAATGTCTATTATTTTCATATTTAAAGGAATCCTAATTAAAGCAAGTGGGCACTCCTTTAAGGTGTTTTTCTTGTTGTTGTTGTTCTTCTGGAAATCCAATATTCAAATAGTGGGTTTTCTTAAAGTGGGATACATTTGTTTGAAGGAGCAAGGAAAACAGGGAGCAATCATGCCAGGAAAGGGCGGGGAGAGTCCACTGGCAGCGCTGTAAGCAATGAGCACCTGTTTCAACCTCTGAGCGGGTTCACCGAGACTCAGGCACAGAAACGCTTCGCCGGGCATGTGCACTGGGCAGGGGCTTGTGTGTTTGAAGGCCTTATCCTGCCGGAGAGCAACACTTCCCCTCCCTCCCCTGGGTCATCGCTGCGGAAAGCCTTCCTCCCCTGAGACAGTCATGGGAACCCTCCACAACCACAGAATGTCCACGGACACCCAATCCACAGGTCATTTGGCCATGCCAATGTCATAAAATCGCTAAATAAAGGATGACTGCATATTTATCACGTTGATGTCACATTTATAAGGGCCTTGATTTGCTCTTGGCCTTAAACGCATAAACTTGTAAAACTGTCAAATGTGACATATGTCTACCTTGTTTTGAAAAGATAACTAGTGTTCATGGTAAAAACACTATCTTATAAGAAATGGGATGGAGGGCCATTAAATCTTCCTCCCTATTCCTGAGCCTTAGCCTTTTGGCTCTCTGCCCCAGAGGCCATCGCTGGCACCATGTTCTTGGTTTACCTTCCAGAGAGATTTATGCAGAGGAG